CTGTCACTTATTGGTCTAATGGCCTAAGGTTCTGTCACTTATTGGTCTAATGGTCTAAGGTTCAGTCACTTATTGGGCTAATGGTCTAAGGTTCTGTCACTTATTGGGCTAATGGTCTAGGGTTCTGTCACTTATTGGGCTAATGGTCTAGGGTTCAGTCACTTATTGGGCTAATGGTCTAGGGTTCAGTCACTTATTGGGCTAATGGCCTAAGGTTCTGTCACTTATTGGTCTAATGGCCTAAGGTTCAGTCACTTATTGGGCTAATGGCCTAGGGTTCAGTCACTTATTGGGCTAATGGCCTTGGGTTCTGTCACTTATTGAGCTAATGGTCTAGAGTCCTGTCACTTATTGGGCTAATGGTCTAGGGTTCAGTCACTTATTGGGCTAATGCCTTAGAGTGCAGTCACTTATTGGGCTAATGGCCTAAGGTTCTGTCACTTATTGGTCTAATGGCCTAAGGTTCTGTCACTTATTGGTCTAATGGTCTAAGGTTCAGTCACTTATTGGGCTAATGGTCTAGGGTTCTGTCACTTATTGGGCTAATGGTCTAGGGTTCTGTCACTTATTGGGCTAATGGTCTAGGGTTCAGTCACTTATTGGGCTAATGGTCTAGGGTTCAGTCACTTAATGGCTAATGCCTTAGAGTGCAGTCACTTATTGGGCTAATGGTCTAGAGTTCTGTCACTTATTGGGCTTCAGTCACTTATTGAAGTATAGGGTCCAGTATCTTATTGGGCTAATGACCTAGGGTTCAGTCACTTATTGGTGAAAATAAGTGTCTCTGTTATGAGATTTCACACTTTACTGATCTACACCTAACAGTGTTAGTAAAATAAAACGATGCAATGAGGGAAAATTTTTCATAACAGCAATGAATATATTGATTGCTTAATTCTTCGCCTGATCATAGATTATATATCTCCACCAAATTTTTAAGACTGATCACGAAAGGGGCACATGTAGCATAATTTTTCAGAATGCCTATGAGAGTGTTAGAATGACAGTAGCCTTTCTTGGTTCATGCTGTGCATTGTGCAATGAGGGAAAATTGCCATTGTCAGATTATCAATGGTACTAACCTGGAATAAGTTTGTCCTCTGTAAGTTCCTGTCTATTAAAGGGGTCTGTCTGAGAGTTGAGGAGATGTCGTATGATGATAGGCCTGTCCATTATAGCACCACTGGGTAATTCTACTGGGTCAGACATCAACGTGTCCATCAGAGGATCTGAAAAATTAATGGTACTTAGAATTAAAGAAGTTAAAAAAAAATCCTTTTGGTCTTGAAGCAAAAAATAACTTTGTTTTGTATCATAAAGTCAAACAATATATCCTAATAAACATAACACCTTGTATAAAATAATACAGTTTGTATTACTGAAGATATCTGAATAGAAATATACGAATTAAACGTTGGTCTGATTAGTATTATTGGTGTGTAAACGCAATTGATCACACCACAATAAAAACATACATAAATAATATCTACCTTTAAATTCATCTGGAATATCGCCATAATCACATTCTATTTGATTTTTAACATGTAGAGTTTCTTCTATTCTTTCTTGTAGATTTCGGAACTGGGCTATTTCTGACTGTGTTTTTATACAAGCTTTAGTCATTCTGGTGACAGCATCATCAAACAATGCTTTACGGTATGATCTCTATAATAAAAAACACATGTACAATAATCAAAATGGACTGCTTTGATGGAAATATAATCAAACGAGTTAAATTTTTGCCATTGTTTTTGATTTATAAATGTCGAGGGATCTTAAATTTGCACAGCATGTAGCTCACAGGGCCTTGATTTATTGTGCCATGTGATTAGAAGTTTTTGTATGTTAGCCGACCTGCATCACTGACTGGGGTAACAGGGCTGGAATACCCTTTTGTCTGAGCAAAGAAATTCTTACACTAACAGTAATTAGTTTAAGGCTGCTGTTCCAATTCTCATAAAAATAATAATAAAATAATAAAATCAAAAAACTTTTTACTTTGCTCAGACAATATGGTATCTAAAACTAAGTTGATAATCTCCCTTACCTCATCATTAGAAATAGCCACCACAAATTTCTCACAGTCTAAATGTAGATATATATCTGTTAAATTATTTAATAATTTCTTGGGTTCCCAGCCATATTTCTCTGGATTCTTCACCTTCAAACTTTTACATTTCGGACCACACAGTTGCTGGAGATTAAAATTCAACATGGCTGCCAGACGGTCTGCTAATTCCTGGTCATAAAAGAAATAAAATGAAGTTTCACATCCACCAATTTATGCAGCGTGCAACGAGAAATATTTTTGCAACACTGACAACTTTTTTTTCTCCTTTTCTAACTGTCAAGGGATATTTAAACACAGTGTGTAAGTGGGGCATAAGTTTACTGTTCCAATCTGCTCTTTTCATACCAGCGTCCATCATTAATGGGGGAAAGTCATTATTAATTGTTAAAAATTTCCTTATCATGTGACATTTTGACTGACAGCTAGAAGTAGGTCTTAAGTAAGTTGCTTCACTCCCTCTGACCTAATTTAACTACGAAAATGTGACATAATATGATCTCCATTTGACTATAATAACTTACAGGTTTTAAGAAGGGATCTTTAATTTCACTGGATAAATAATGGAACATGTCGACTGTTTCTGAGGCCAAGGTCAGATAACTCCTACACTGTCGTTCGTCCACTGATAAATCTTTCTGTTTCTGCTGCTGTTGATCCTGGAATAAACAAAGTTTAAATTTGCCAAAAACATGAAACTCGATTCTCAGGGTGTTTTTTTTTAGACTTTATCTGAGTCATCAATCGAAAGACAGGTTAAAAATGAAGCCATTAGTGCAAAAATGTTGAAGATTGAGCCATTTATTGAGCCATCATGTTCTACGAAACAATTTGTCCATGAGAAAACTAGATTTTTGTTTAATGAACTGTCTGTTTAATATCTGGCAAATAGAGAGTATTGGCTGTGAGTTTCATTGATATACAAAGAAAGACTAGAAAATCTCTTTAAGTTCTAAATTCTAGTATTGTTTTTTAGAAATAACTAAAAGATATTGTAAATAACGGAACATAATTTTATGGTATACTACTCCTTAGTTTTATTACACACAACGTTTCATCAATCTACATTGTCATCTTCAGGTGAAGATATTTTGTATAAACCTACCTTAGAGAGGGTATTCCATTCGGGTCCGTCCATCAGTTCCTGTACCTCATGTATACGTTTTAAACAATCTAAACTTTCATCCAGTAGAAACGTCGTATCATTCATTAACATGTTGGTGAACTTCACAAAATCTTTACCGTTACTGGAATAGAGTAAAAACTATAAACTATAGCTATGAAAAATAGCTAAATTAGGGTTAGATATCCAGTACTTGGACAATAAATACCTGAGAAAATTCAATGAAATGTCAATGTCCTACTTTTTTGCATCTGATTAAGCTAATGAAGACGGGCAATGCCATGCCGTGGGGAATGAGGTAGGAACATTTTCTTTTTTTATATTTCCAAAAATGTGAGTAATTACTCATTAAATAATACAAATCGTATAAAATCTGCTAAATACTTACTTGGCCTCTGAGATAAATTTTGATTTATGTACTGGCATGCTCCACAATGTTTTAAATATAATACTCAGATGATATCGTACTGTAAACTTATCATAAAACTCAGAACTAGCTCCAGTTGTTTCTATTTCTGTAGGAAGAAATCAAACAGAATAATATAAAGGGAACAAATCTAATATAATTTAACCAGATTAATGAACTATAGGGACAAACATTTCAATGTCACTATTAATGAATACAAATTATTTCAGTTCAATGAAACACTAAATGACAGCATAATAAAAATCCATAATGAAGTTTTGGCAATATATTAGTAGCAGCTAATGAACTATTTATATGAAGTATTGCAGAATGAACAGTGGTTTAAGTATCTACAAGAGTAAGCATACCCTGCCTGGTGCAACAACCACTAATATGAGGAAGTATTTCATAATGAACATGGTATCAGGTGACAGGTGTCTAGAAGAGTAAGCACCACCTGGAGCAAACCCACCATAACAACAGACTAGACAAGATTGCCATACCTGTATAGAATTTCATCAATGCAGGAACTAGGTGATATAGAGCAGCTGGATTGATCATTAAAGATTCGTTAAGTTTCTCTACTTTAGGTTGAATAGATGGTTGGAAATAAAACATTACTTCAACGACTTTCGCTTTTAAATGAGGATTTCCAACACAGTTAGAACACATAAATATAATCAATAAATCCATTATTTTATTGATGCAGGGATCTTCTAACACTTGGGGTTGGTTTCTGAAATACATAAACAATTTGTTTGTCAATCGGACACTTTTAAACAACTAGTGAAAGCTAGCCACAATGTTCTTATAATAATAATAATAACAATGATGATAATGATAATAATTATGATAATGATAATGATAATAATAATAATACTGATGATGATAATAATAATGATGATGATAATAATAATGATAATAATAATGATGATGATAATC